ATTCGTATGAGGTTGTAAGCTCCCTTTAGATCAATTTTTGTAAAGATCCTTGTACGTCCAAGTTGTTCTAAGAGACCAGAAATCAAAGGTAACGGGTAACAATTCTTCTTTTTTATCTTATTGAGGCCTCGATAGTCCACGCACATCCGCAACGAGCCATCTTTCTTCTTCACAGATAAGATGGGTGCTCTAGCTGATGATTTTGAATGACGGATGAAGTTCTTGGCTAGATTCTTATCGATGTACTTCTGCAACTCCGCCAACTCCATCTGCGATAGATTGTAGATTGGGCCAAAAGGCGGTTGTGCTCCTTCCTGCAAGTCTATGGCGCAATCATATGGTCTGTGTTTCGGTAGCATGTCGGCATTTTTCTTTTGAAATACGTCTTTAAAATCCTTATATTACTCCGGTATACTTGCTGTCAAGATCTTCTCCCCGGTAGTTGGAGCCGCATAAATGACAAACGGTGTGCCTCCCTTGGACAATCTTATAAACGCTCTTGTTGCAATAAATAAGGATTTCTCTATTTGGGGTTTTCTACTAGGCTTGCTTTTGGGTGGTTTTGTGGGAAAGGTCATCTTCCACAACTTCCAATCTATGGATGGGTTATGCTTTTCCAACCAGGAAAGACCAAGAATAACAGGATTTGATGGGGTTCTAATAATATTGAAAATAATATGACTACTATGGTCCTTAAACGTCACTTCTATAGGTTCTCATTCATGGGTGACACTACCAGACAATAAAGGTCGTCCATCTATGACCTCAACATTAACAGGTTTGGATTTTTGTACTAAAGGGATCTTATGACGCTTTGCAAATTCTTCGTCTAAAAAACAAGCAGATTCTCCTGAATCTAGTAATGTTAAGGTTCTCAATTTTTGAGGGCCAATAAGCAAAGAGATTGTAAAACAAAGGGTAGGTTGAGCAGAAAGAAAGGAACCTGGTTGTTGTTGCGATATTTCACTGTCCAGTCGCACGATTCCTACTGTGGCTGGGCATCCTTGTTTTCCTGAATAAACGCATCCCTAGTCTTGATAATACGTCGATTTTGCTTCTTGGGACAGTTTCCAACTTTGTGGCCTTCTTCACCGCAATACAAGCATAGACCTTCCTCCATACGCCGCTTTTTTTCTTCTAGAGTAAGAGATTTGACACGTACCGCATCAATTTGCATGTCTTCTACCTCTGAATGTGAATTCATGCTGCTTGCCGACATAGTTGGGGTGTGGCAAACCGTATGTTGTTTTGAACGTTGGTCTTGGCGACGTTGAAATAGGCAGTTATCGCACTTCACAGCTTGGCTAATAGCTTCGTTGAGCGTTTGCGGATCAGGAAGAGTTAACAGCAAATCCTTCACATCGTCCCTTAAACCCCAATAGAATTGACTCATCAACGCTTCTTCGTCCCAATTGATGTCGCATGCTAATTGCCTGAAGTCCGATGCATAGACTGATATAGAACACATCCCTTGTCGTAGTGACTGGATCTTTGTTTTAGCCCATCGAACCTTGTCGTGTTCACCAAATACTTCCGTAAATGCCTCCAAAAAGGTTTCAAAGTTGTTTAGTATGGACGATCGTTTCTCAAACAAAGGAGCAAACCATGATAGAGCTTGTCTTGTAAGTAAGGTTCCAACAAGTCCAACACGTGACTCCTCCGTTGGATAGCGTTCAGGCTGTAAAACTGTTATCAACCTGATTTGGTTGACGAATCCTCAAAACTTGGAATGTGTACCATCGAACTTGTCCGGAAGGCTAACTCGGGATTCCTTATGTTGTAGAACCAGCGGTGCTTGTCGAACCTCAGGCAAAGTTGCTTCTCCAAGTGTAGAAGTTTGAGGCTGGTGCAACCTAGATTGTGCCATCCCAGATGCTCCATCATTATGAAGCCTTGCCACGACTCCTTCAATCTCTGCACTTCTTTGCGATAACGTAGCAAGGGCATTCATGATAGCATCTAACTTGGACTCTGAACTTTTCGTCATACTAATGTCTTGGCCCCCGACCATTCTAAGAGAAGGACAGAAATGACTCTACAAGAAGACAATATTGGTTTAGAGGAGGGTACTCCGCAACCTCTAAAATGCCTTAAGAGTTTCAAGAAAAGGGGTAATCCACTCTCTCTAAGAAGAATAAGACTCCAATATTGTAACAAAAGAAGTATCAGTTTAGAGGAGGGTAATCCGCAACTTCTAAAGTGCTAGTACACTTCCAAGCAGAGGAGTAATCCACACTCTAACAAAGAAGAAACTAGCTCTGATATGTGAGGTGAGTGAAGTCTCGACAAACTGTCACGGACACAGAATATAGACTTGATATCTACCAAGAAGTTCAAGAAGAACTGACAAGAACTAGATTAATCAGATGAATACAAGAACAACACCAGAGAGGTGAGCTAGAGCTCCAAGAGATGTGTTGTCGAGACTGAAGAACTCTTCAGCCTCGATCCCAATATATACTCCTATTTAGGAAGCTGCTCAAGCAACTTCTACCAACTAGGAAGCTTCTAGAAGGTTCCAGAGACTTGCTTCTAGAAGGTTCTAGAAACTTATCTCTAGAAGGTTCTAAGGACTATGTCCCTAACATCTTCTACCAATTAAGAAGCTTCTAGAAGGTTCCAGAGACTTGCTTCTAGAAGGTTCTAGAAGCTTGTCTCTAGAAGGTTCTAGAAGCTTGTCTCTAGAAGGTTCTAGAAACTTGTCTCTAGAAGGTTCTAAGGACTATGTCCCTATCACAAACCTACTTATATGTGAATTTGAGATGAAAATGCTAGGAAAAATAACTTTCTGCATTGGTCTTCAGATTATGCATCTTACAAACGGTAGCATTTTTTTCTATCAACTAACGTATATTAGACGAATTTTGCAAAGATTTAATATGAATGATGCTTATCTATTGTCCACACCAATGGTTGGACGTGGTCGTGATGGTCATGATCCATACCGTCTATGCGAGGAGGAGGAGGAAATATTGGGAGACCAATATCCATACCTCGCAGCGATTCGAGCACTTTTGTATTTAGCTACATCTATAAGACCAGATATTGCATTTGCAGTTAGTATTCTTGCAAGACATAGTGCACGTCCAACACTACAATATTGGAATGGCATCAAACATTTATTACGTTATTTAAAAGGTATTGAAGACTTGGGATTATATTACACAAAATCTGCAGATCCAAAATTGGTTGGATATTGTGATGCAAGATATAAATATGATATTGGAAAAACTAAATCTCAAATAGGATATGTATTTTTAAGACATGGAGCTGCAATATTATGGAAATCAGTGAAACAAACAATAACTGCAACTTCATCCAACCATGCAAAAATTATTGCCTTACATGAAGCATCCCGAGAATGTATTTGGTTGCGATCAATTGATAAATTCATTCAAACAGCCTGTGGATTTTCGTATGATGATTCTCCAACTATCTTGCATGAAGATAATAGTGCTTGTATTGCACAGATGCAAGTTCGTTTCATTAAAGGCGACATGACAAAGCATATTGATCTAAAGTATTTTAGTTATACTCATGACTTGATTATTGATCAAGCACTTATAATTAAGAAAATTGAATCTACAAATAACCTTGCTGATCTCTTCACCAAAGCTCTCCCATTAAGCAATCATCGTCGACGTACTTATGGCATTGGTATGCGGCGACTTACTTTTCTTGAATAAGAAAGTTAAAGAGCTCTTTAAATAATTAAAGAAAATGATGTTGTACTCTTTTTCCTTCATCTATGGTTTTGTCCTTAATTAAAATAAGGTTTTCCTAGATTAGGTTTTAATAAGGCAACAATTCTTGATCTTACAAGATCACAGAAAAGTATAGATCATAAATCTATATAAATTTTATATTATATAAATATTATGATGAGCGAGGAGGAGTGTTGAGATCATTAAATGTAGCCGACACTCTCCATAATATTTATTGTAGACTACAGTAATTACTGTAGCTACAGTATTTAGAGTCTAGTCGAGAAGTACTATTCATCCTCTTATCTTCTCTCTTCTTGTGTACGAAACACAACCAGATCAATAGATTTTTGTGTGTGTGAAGCTCTCTCTCCTGAGAAATCCTCTTGTGTGTATGACTTACTACTACTCGTGTGTGTGTATGACTTACTATTACTCTTGTGTCTTTCTAAACATTCTCAACAAACCACAAACACCATCAAACAAGCATTGGATGTAGAAGTGGAAAGGGGAGGCTTCCGCGGCCGCGGGCGTGGACGCGGCGTCTACGACGGCGACGGCGGCGGCAGCGGCAGACCGTCGTAACGCTGGTTACCAGTGGCAGTCGCGGCGCTTGTGGCGAGGAGGAATACTTGTGGCCTTTTCAGGATTCGTCGTGAGGCGGTCATGTGGCGATGGCGGGTCCGCGATCGAGCGCGCATATCTGGCATTGAGTAATCGCCCTTATTGGATTCTCCGGCGTTGCTGACTCTGCGACCGCAACGATGAGCTTTCACGTGGTCCAAGCGGTTTCGAAAGCTGCGCTGATCGGGCCCAAATCGCCACTTTCTCGTAAAACTGATGCGTGCTCTGGTGCGGTAACGCTCACACACGGCGTTGGGAATGTGGGTCTGCGACAGTGAGGTGGACGGAGACGATCGAGGCCATGGTTAGGTCCATCTTAGAGGAGTCGGTGTGGAGAAAATTTGCAATTGAACGGGAACCTCGACAGTTGTCTCTTGTCGCAATTATGCGACGTGGTTACAGCACCTCCAGGTACCGGCAACGGTTGTCGTTGCCGACGTGATGGCAGGTCTAGGAAATGCTTTGAATTCTCTGATCGCAATGTACTGGAGGATGTGGGAAACAATTACCGGAACCGTCGTCGGTCCATGATGCAAGCTACGGCCACCGTCCGAATCGAGGGACACTTGGTGAAGTCGTTCAGGGTTAAACTCGTCCGACTATCGTTGGCCCAGAGGGGTTCAGGCGGTGAGCATTACAACGAGAGGAAGTATGAAAGTGGACAAAAATCGGTGAGATGGAATTACGCCATCACGGCGGTTGGGAACGTGAAGAATTTCAATTCAAACGACGCCACGCACAAAATTGAAACAAATCTAGACAAATTCTGTAAACAATGTTGTGGTCCACTGCCTACACTGAAGCTGGCAACATAGCAGATGGAAGCATATCGATGCTATCACTAGATCATGCGTCGTTTTACAAACACTCACTGTGCAAGATTACGAAGTATCTTGCCGGGTGTGCACGAATGGTGATCAATAGAAAATATAACGAGGAGTCTGCAGAATGCCGAAGTAGCACAGATTGGATGCAGATTGGTCGCCGCGCTTACTGATCACTATGCCACAGAAATAGGGCATGGCTAGCAAGAACGTCAGGATCATCTGGCAAGGCGTCGATCGCTTGGGTGTAGAGCTTCTCGGCTGCGTCAGGGTCTCCCATGGCATCCCATGTGAATCCTGCGAACTCAGACATTATGTGTGGGTTCCAAGGGGAATCTTGCAGCGCTGCTTCGAAAACCTCCTTTAAATCGCTGTTGGTGTCCAATGTAAAGAAGTCCGAAAGCAGGTGCGACGAAATTGTTTTAAATCCGCAGTGCGTGAGAGAACTGGTTTGCTCAACAACTTGCACGGTATTTTCGTAAATTAGCCTGCACCCTCTACCACTGCATTCTACTCTACCACTAGCTGCGTTGGCCTCGAAAAATTCCTGAAGTGTTGCAGTGGGTCGCGCTCCACTCAAATACTTTGAGTCCTCCATTCCATCCTGCTCCGCAACTTCAAACTCCCTAACGTCTTGCAGGCTACTGCGCCGGGCTTGAGCAGATTGTTTGATGGTCTGGTTCGTATCCGGGGAAATGCCGCGTTGAGACGGCCGCTCTGAGGACAGAGAGCAGGTTACACGAAAAGGCCTCCCAGTCAACAGGTTTTGAATGGCTGGAAGGATGGATCTGGGGACTGTAGTCGTATGTGGACGATCGCTCCAGGACCATCGCTTTGTTGATTCCTGTCCCAACAATCCTGAGGAAATCCTCCTTGCGGCGGCCACTACACTCACCATGATTGAAAGCGCAATTGATCAAATCGATCCCGGAAAATCACTCAAGTGTGGTAATGACCTTCACGCGATTTCGGTGCTCAGGAATATGACCCAATGTCCGACACCCACCTGAACTTTCGCGAGAATATCACAGCTAGCAGCGAGATAGAAATGCCCGGGCAGCTACGTGGTGCAACCTCCAGGATGCATTGAACGGCAAAGAATTGTATCATGAAACTGCTGAACCCACGGAGCGAGCTGAAATACCATGATCTAAGCAATGGCGCGCTTCATGAATGGCGTTGCCATAACACCATCTGACTTGTGTAAACAAATCACGAGAGACAGTGAGTGCGGAGTAAAATGGAAGCCAACAATGCCTGCGTTTCTAATTGCAACGTCCAATAGATGCAACTGGGGGGATCAGGTGTAAAAATCATCTACTAGAAAAAACACGAAGACACAAATACTAAATTAAATCACTTGATTTAGAACCCAATGCCGCACTTGTAAGTACAGGGCAATTTGAAACGAACACACCACGCACCGCGCAGTCTCACAGTTCCCGTCCCCAGCTCTACTTACAACCAGAAAATGAGAACGCGGCAGAGGCTTGGCAGCATATAGCTCCTCACTAACATTCATTTGGCACCAAATGGCACCGAAGTAAGTCTAAATTCTTCCAATACCTCCACCGAGAAAACAATCCACAATCGAAACCATAGATCTAAACCCACGAATGGCGCAGCGTTCCAGCACGATTCTACTGGAGTGCTTGGCCCCGGCGTAGGGGTTGCAAGACAAAAAGCAAAACTAGAATTAGCTAAGCTCAATCTAGAGTCTAGAAGTTGAAACTGACTCCAACTTAATGGATTATGGGTTGGCGCCGCTCTTTATGGCAGAGTTTGTAGATTGATGGCGAGATTAAATTAGATTAGCGTAGACTAGAAGAATGTCTTTTTTCGGGAAGACGGAATTCGTGGCTTCTTTTCAACAGCGAATGAGTGCTGGCCCGTGTGTGTGCTCGCCACAGCTCCATGAAAATTAATTCGAGTGATGTCAAGTCCTCTCTCACCTCGATGAGCTTCCCAGCTTCGCGTTGCCACTTTCCTTCAGAAGATTCCGCGTGAGCTGAGTGATTGTTTCGAGTTCGGGAGACCTTATGAACAAGTGCATTCATTACGCAAATTTCGTTGTGAAATTTTGCACTGTGCAGATCCGATACAATCGCACAGGATCAGATTGCACTTTCGCTGATTGCATTCTTTCTCGAAAGACGTTGATAATCGGTAATTTTTTTCATTCTTTTGGACAAACACTGAGCAACCTTGCAACGTTAGATTATTAAATAAGAGATTCATAAATAATTGGAACATGAGTTGCTCATATCTTAACAGTATGTAATTATATTGTATGGGTAGATGTTGGAATAATTTAGAAAGGGTTTTTATTATTCTTGCTTCTTCACAATTTATTTTTTAATTTCTTCTTCCAAATATTTGCATTATATGTATAAATTGCATGTTTTTTAATGAAAGCACTTTATGTTAAACAGCTCAAAAAGGTCTTGCAGAATGTCAATATAAGTTATAAGCCATAGAATGTTAAGAATTACAAATTTCAGACTAAGGGTTTTAGATTTATTTTTTTAATAGTAGCAAAAAAATATGTGTATAAAATTAGAGTATTATTTAACTTCTTTGTAGAAAACTGTGTATATTATAAAATATCTTCAAAATAAATAAATTTTAGCTAAATATGAGAGCATGCTAAATTAGAACTGTTATAAATGTATTGTTTGGATTAATTCAAAACAAAAGGTAGAAGACTGGTATAATCCTCAAACCTCTACCCTTTGATGGCTCAAAATATAAATTCTAATCTACTTAAAAACTTTTTAAAAATTAAAAGTAGTTTTACAACGAAATTAAGGATTACTTCATATATATATATATATATATATATATATATTTAATATATCTTGTCTATTATGGTAAAAAAGAAAATAGAAAAAAATTGATATGTTATATATTGTGGATTATTTTAAAATATCTAATTTTATTAAATATGAATATTCTGTTTTCTCTTAAATGAAATTCATTTGAATCCTATTAACATTTTTGTTTCTGAAAAGAAACAAAATAGAGTATTTAATAATATTTCAATGTCTTTAAATTCTTAGTATCTTTGATTATATTAGAATCTTTAAGTCTTACCATTTCAGTACTAGATAACTAATTTAAATCAATTAGTGTCTAATTTCAATGGTAGATCGAACTAATTAACTATATAAATTATATTACTTGTATTGTCTTTGATTTTATTTTATTTTATAAATAAGTTAGAAAAATTATCATACTAACTATTAATTAATTGATTAAAAAAATGATTACTACTTAATTGGTTTTTTCTTATTGTATCTTAAAATGCTAAATTTATAGATTAATGCTAAAAAAATTAATAAATTAATAACCATCCTTATCTTGCTTTTCTTTGCAAGAGTTGTTTTAAGTTGATTTTTATTAATAGAAATTACAGCATCCACTCTTTTTTGCAATATTTTTGAAATTCTAATTTTAAAATTTGATATATTCTAGATAAAATGTTAATCATCCAAGAAAGTGTTTTTAAAGCAAGAATATTATATCATATCTTACTTATATTAAAATTTAGATTAATTAAATTACATAATAAAACCTTATATTTTTTTTAATTGTATCAAATAAATTTAATTTATATTATGTTTTTATTCTATTCTCTAAAATCAAATACTATAATTTTAAATTAAAAAAATTAATTTTCATTCTTTAATGGTAATTCAAATCTATTATAGTAATCCATTTTTATTTTATTTTTTTATAAAGACCTAAAAGTTTTGAAAAAATCTATATTAATTCTATCTAAATTTTTTTTTTTTTTTTGTTTTGCTTTTGTTTTTTCTTTTCTTTTCTTTTCTATAGGAGTATTTTAAATGAAATTACAATTAAATGGATACAACTATCTAATAAGAAATTTATTTATTTATTATTTAAGGTAATTTGAAATAAATCATTTTACTTTTTTTTATAAAGTCAAATATATCTTAATATAGATTAAAATAGAAGAAAAGATACACCTATTTAACTTCATATTTTTTATTAAGGAGTATACTTTTAGATATTTTAAAATTTAATTTTCTACATTTAAAGACATTTTTTTCTTGATTCATCTAAGACATTACTTAAAAATTGGTCTCTTTGTCCTATAATAGTGCATATTTTTTATAGTTTTTGATGTTCCAATCTCCAATATTTTAAACGAAAATTATTAATTCAAGCCTTTTTCATTCTAATTTCTTAATAAATAAAATTATATATTTTTATTTATTATTTAAGAAAATAAATTAAACTTGGATCTCTAATAATTTTGTTTTATAGTTAAATGATTGAGGGTTTATTTGAGGTTCTTCATCTTTACAAGAATTCTTATATAATAAAATAAATTGTGATATTATTGATTAAAGACTTACTTCTTAAGCTAAATTATTCTTTATATTATTCATCATAGTATTTAGAATAGGATCTTTAAAACAAATTAACATATTATAGACCTTCGTACTTTTTTGGTTATAAAAATAATATATTAAAAGATTTTATATAAAATAGTCAAATAATAATATATCTATTTTTATCTTATATATTATATTTTATTTTTTTACCAAAACATCTATATATATATATATATATATATAATCAAATTAATCTATTAAGAATTCATATTTCTTCTTCTATATTGTTTCGTAAGTAATAAAATCTATTTATATAGGACACATAATTTTTAGAATAAGATTAGAGAAATGATAAAGCTGATCAAATTTTTATTAAATCAATCTACATGCCCCATTCCTAGCTATTCCCCTATTCCAAATTGTTCTCTTATTTATAATTGTTACCTCCATTTTTGAAGTTCCTAGCCCCCTACCTCTATTCTTAGTAACAATTGGAAATAGAAAACAACTGGAAATAGGGATGGAGGCTCCAAGGATGCAATGATGCTTGAAGTAAAGTGGGTCGCTTTAGTAAAAATTTAGGTTGCTTTTTTATTCTCCTACGAATATGTCTTCAAAAAATATTATAATTTTTTTATTATTATTAATTATTTTATAAAATTCCAAAAATCCCTATAATATTTTTATAATATTGATAACAATTTAAAGCTATTTCTTTATACTTTTTTGACTTCTAATAGTAATATAATTAATTTAAATCAATTAAAAATCATATTTTATATATAAATAATAAAAAATATGAGGTTATTTTTTTGTACTTCTTCTACCTACCAATTAATATTTATAGTTTTTGAATGAGTAATACATGTAAATAGAAGGCCATTATAGATATTGGTTTTAAAAAAACAAAAAAATAAAAAAATAAAAATCTTACTATTAAAAAAAACTAAAGTAACTAAGAAAATTGCTTCCATGATCTATTAAGATTCTACTTTTATGATTTTTCTTCAATAAGACTTTGGCAATATTTAAATCCTTCTAAATTCTAATAAATACTGAAATAATAAAATAATTTCTTAAATTATAATGATTTTATATATAAATAAATTAAAATCATATTTTAAATAATTCTATCAATTATGATGTATTGATAGGACTTACATATGGCAATCAATTGATACCATTTGAAAAAAATAATTAAATTCTATTCTTACTTTTAATATAATCTATAAAAAAATAGAAAATAAAAAATAAATCAATATTATATTATATTAAAAGAAGTAGAATAAAAGAGAAGAATACTAAGACCATGACTAAGAAAACTAATAAGAACAATTGTTTGGATTTGATTCAATATATTTTTACATATAGCAATTTCTTGTTTAATTCAATAGCTCAATATTGGATATCATCTATACTTCTATTCAGATTCAAACTAGAGAGTACTTAATATGTAATACCATGACAACTTGACTCAATTTAACTAGCTACAATGGAGACAACCATGATGTTTTGTATATATCTCCCATCCTATCTAAAGGCAACAAATCCACTAAAATATGTGAGCTAGAAGGTTCTCATTGGTATACAAATTTTAGTCTATTTTTAGCCATAATAGGATGTATTTCACATACATACAAATAGGATTTTTTGTTGAGGAAGTTTGCAAGTCTTAGGGGCTGTTTTTTGAGGGTTGGCTTTAAGCGGCACATTCTAATCTTGATACAATTTCTAATAAAGAAATGGTCTAAGCATTGGTGCAATTTTTCTAAATGTTTGATCTTGTGTTGTCTATATTTTCAATATAGACCTTAAAAAAATAATTCTTAACACTACTTGCTACTTTTGTCTTCAACTTAGGCTTATAATATACTAAAAATAGAAATAATCTAAAGCTTTGACTGATAACTACTACAAAATTGTCCAAATACATTGTGTTGTATCTAATATTTCATTTCATATTTCTTATAACGACTTCATTTAGTTTGTGTTAGAGAGTCTTTTCCATCTAATATTTTGAGTTGGTCTAAATTATTATAAAAGATTTCTTTAATAATATGTAGTCATATCTAAAGAAAATTAAACTTAGCTAAATTTCTACTTTTCTAGCATCTTAGATAATTATCCACATCCATGGAATAAAGCGATTTTTTATTTTATTTTATTTTATTTAAAATTTTAAAATTTTAATAAAAAAATCTTCTTTCTTTTCCTTTGAGTAGTTTTTATATATTGAACTACAAATCTTTGAGATGTACTTAGCTCTTCTAAATGGCTTAATATTTTTGAAAGATTGAAAAATATCAATGGCAATGCATAAGAATGAAACTACCAATTCTATAGATAAAATGGCATTTATTCCATACACCAAAGAAAAAAATATAGTTGTTATAAAAACTTTGTAAGTAGTTGATAAGTCCAAACTACTTACAAAGTAAAAGTCAAAGTGAGATATTTAAAGAAATTTCAAGGTTTAAATTATTATATACATTTTATTAATAAGCATTACAACATCTAGCAAAATATTCTAAATAAAAAATACCATAGATCAAATATAGCCTATTATAAGGATTTTTTAAATTATTCATTGATTAGAGAAGTACCCACCACAAGCATTTGAGTGAGAAGCTTCTAAGACAAGTCATACTTCTTGATTTATAAGACATCTTAATATACCATTAAATTGTTGACAATATAGTTTCTTGGCTAGAAGATTGAAATGACTACTATTCACTCTAATCTTCTACTGTTCACTTTCCAATAAGACATTAAATAATTATTGGATACTCAAAAAAATTGTAATTTATTCATATTATATAGATATCACTATAATATAGAATATATGAGCATCAAGAAGTTCATTGTCTTTATCTTAGGTGCAAATTGTAGATAACTATGAGAGATGATTGAATTATTTGTGTTGTTTTCTTTGTTTATATTATATTATATAATCAAATTTTATTAAAAATAATATCTATCTTGTTAATCTACCACTTAAATCTAGTTTGTTCATAATATATCTACAGGCCAAATGATCCATAAAGAAGATGACTTTGTTTATCAATAGATAATAGCGGATTTTTTAACACTAAAGACTATAACTAAACATTCTTCTTCCATGGTTGTATAATTTTGTTCATCACTTGCTAATTGTTTATTAGCACAAGCTATAGAATGGATTATACTCTTATCATTTAGTTGATGTAAGGTACTACTTATTATCAATTCAAATTTGGTAGTTGTTTTCAACAAATCAATCAATAGTAAGGTATGGATAGAGTATGCTTCAATCAAGTTGCAATACAAAGCCATGTGTTCCAAAATTATTTAAATTCCTCTTACTCTATTTGAAGTTGGTAGATTTGTAATAACTTCTTTTTTTATAAGATAAAGTTCTTTTTCCTTCTTTGAAATAATATATTCTAATAAAACTCTCTTTTTAATCGTCAAATTTTTCTTTTCAAGTAAAGAAAATTCTTACTTTTGTACAATATTAGAATCACAATTAAATGCTTTTAAGGTGTTCATCTTTTGATGTTTGAGAATTAAAGCAATCAATATAAATTAACATAGATTTTTTAAGAAGGTCTATAAAGATGTGTAGATCATGACCTTTTAAAAAGTTGAAGGAATAATGCATAATTGAAAAGACATTATTATATATACTAAAGTTTTCCAAGGTGAAGTAAATGCAATCTTTTATCTAAAGACTAAATAGAATTGATTATTTTTTAAACTATTTTAGTAATTTGAATTGTCTCCTATGAAACATACAACAATTAAATTTAGAAAAACTCTACATCTCTCTTTTGACAATATGTTTATACACATTCACCTATTTTGATTTTGTCATAATATGAAAGATTCACTACTTCTTGCAAAATCTAATAGTTCAAATTCTCTAGGTTGAATAAGATAAAATGTTTTTACTATGTAAATTGAATATATTAATTATAATGAACTTATCTAGTAAAACCACGTTCTCTCAATAAAAAATAGAGTGTTTACAATCTAAATACACTCAACAATCAGTTGATTATTTTCTTAACAATGAATTTTATCTATTAGCACAAGAGTTCATTACTGTTATCCTAACCCTAAACTCACTTTTAGCTTGTTGAAACACACTTAGATCTTTTATCTTTTCTTCAATAAACCATCAACAAAATTGACTATTCCAAGAAGAGTGGACTGAATGCTCTGAACAATTTGTGTAAATCTATTCCGAAGAAAAACCTTACCTTACTCTGCTTGCACACACTAAGCCATCTGTGCTATTCTAATTTTACAAACTATTTTAGTAGCTACCACTTTTATTCACATGCATCATGACCAAAACGTCTATTACATGTTTACTTAACTGCGTCCTTGAGAAGTGCTCCAACTGCATCTATACCCGCATCTTCAAACCAACTGCAGAGCAGCGCATTCTCAATCTTGCCTATTAAGATTTGTTCACTCCTTGTGTACGGAGAAAAAAAACACAAAACACAAACAAAAACAAACAAAACAATGACGTTATGACCTGCCAACTACGCTTGTTGATAGCGAATATTTGAACTGCAAAATATGAGAACTGGATTAACTCCAGACTTTTGCTCTCAAGCAACTTAATCGTAAAAGCAAGAACTCAAAAAACTATGCATACTGTAATACTATATAAGCTAATCCAGCTTCAAAGGCCTCAAAGAAATCTCACCAGTTGGGCAAGAGGATAGAACTTATGATCGAATTGCGATTCAAATGTAGCACCAAAAAAAGTAAAAAAAACATATATCTTGGGATGCTTTGTGTGAAAGCCATGACTGTAAAAATAGTATAGATCAAGTTGGATAGAGTACCGTCGGCAATTTAGACTTCAATTTTACATCATTCATGGTTACAAATACAGAGTGATGTCATTGAAAACCAACTTGACATCTCAAGGGTATAATGGCTCTACATCCACGGTAGAAATTAAGTTCACTGTTATAAAGCTTTCCAACCACCCACCACTCCCACTACACCCAAGTAATGCAGATTGGCTATTAGACCTGTATACCAGGCAATTCAGATATAAAACACCTTCATCAGCATTGAGTAACACATGAGGAGACTGGAAGGAATGAGGTGTGAACTAACCGAAAGCAGACAAACGAAACAAGTACCAGATGTCACACATTATGATGAACTCTAAACATGAACTACACGGCTTGGTCTCTGCATGCCTACAAAACAATTCTAGATGTGCATCCTTTAGGCATTATGGGCTTTCTACGCAACCTTTCCGCTTAACTGAACACAAGTCCTCAGCGCAAAATGATAGTGGTGATGTCTGGCAGCATACCTGCATGCCATCTTCGTAACAAGTTCCGTGGCGCACTATGATGACCCTTAGCTTCACTAGGCAGCTCATATTAACAGCTATCGACTCCCGATTATCTTATACTCGAATCTGCTTCAATGCCGTAGAACTTGCCATGAAGCCTCCGAAATTGTATGTTACTGTCCACAGCCATCTGTTCTATGACGAAGAAGTAGTATTAACAAGTGATGTATGGACTAATCTAAATAAATGAATTATTCGAAAGCCCATCAGGGTTTCGACAAGATCCCACTCAGACGTTTATGAAAGTTGGGAACCTTACAGCAAAAATGCGTAATAACTCTCTATACTTCAGGTGGTCGAAGACAACCAAGAGCGTAGTTGAGAGATGTTTGCGTGATTATATCAGCAAGTGAATAAGGGCTACGGAGAAAGCTGACCGTGCATACTCAACACCAAATTGTCGGAAACACTCGGCTTGAATATGACACTACCATGATCCAAGCGTCAGATCCTGAGCACAGTGAGATTAAGCACTAGCTTTCACTCTTCACTATCTTTCGGACGTTTCGATTTCTCCAAAAGCAAAGCTGAAATGCGCTCTCGTTTAATGGCGTTTGAGGTAGGCTCAATAACCCTAGAAGGTCCTTTTATGGGAACTCCTGTCGATTCTACACGATTCCATAATAATATGGTTCCAAACAACACGCAGCCCATTGATAGTCCTAGTCCCCAGAGCGTCACCGCTGTTTGATTGAACGGTCTAACAGGTCCTGCAGAGCGATCTGAGAGGTCACATATATGATGAAGACAATACACACAGTGAGTGGAACTAATTACACATGTCAAGAAAACTAGATAACTTGCGAAGCATAGAACTAAACAATTTTCCTCGGATAATCTAACAAACCAGGAAGAAGCAATGTGCTCATATAACCGACCTGGATAAGCGCGCACATGGGACTTATAATGAGTCCTAGGCGATCTGGGAGCATCAATGATGATGTTTTTGTTCAGAAGCCTCTGATAAGCTGCTGAAATACGCAGAAACTCTGCACCATCCTTGTTGTTTAAATCAGGGTGACTGCAAGACAAACGAATTCCAGAAACTGAGGTGTCGCCTAAAGCTTTCTTTAACCTACTGTCACATGTTAGGAACATGCAATGCTCAAGAAGACGACGGCACTCTTTGAATTCAAGAATTCTAGGTGAATGAGGCAGATTATTCGCTATCACAACACAAATATAAATCTTCTGAGCATTCCATCTCCCGTGTGTTAGGGTTCGAAAGGAACCGTCAGTATTCACCGGATACTCGACCAGCTCTCTGAGCTACTAGTTAGTTGTGGAATCGCACTGAGAGAGAACTTCAGACGCTGTGATTGATTGTTCCAATAACTATGTCAAGCCTCGAATGTTGCGTCTAATCTGCTTACACTACGATTCCAAAGAGTCGTCAAAGAGCGACGCACCATCTGAGGGCAAGCCGACGATACGCAGCTTTAACATCATCCATGCTTGACCCCGGCTCCAACTCGAGTGCACGGTAGGCAGACTCCAACGACATTCTCGAATGCACGTTCCGATTATCACTGCTATAATTGCACCGCTGAATAAATGCTTGCGAGAGCCGCGAGAGGAAATCAGGACCTGTCATGTCGGGTCACAAAGAGACCACACGCTCCCGCATTCATGTACGAAACTTGGTTACCCAACAGACCGTTGTCTCAACATCAGCGCACCTCTTAGTCAAACTCCAGAACCTCGTCCTCTACTTCAGAATTGCGATGAACCTAGGCGACAAAAAAATACCTACAACGACACGACAATTAGGAAATGCTCGAATCCAAGCGACCAGCACCGAATTCCTGGACCCAGAACACCAACAATTGTAAGGTGACTCATATGTGTGCTAGCTACGAGGGACAGCATCGAACTTCGACTGAAAATATGCGCACCCTAGACAGTAATTCCCGAATGCTCTCCCCTAAGTGTACCTTGGATTCGACCAGCTGAACGTCTGAACGAGATTCACACCTCATATGGCACTTTAGATTAACACCACGTCGACAAGTCAGAATATGTGGCATTTCTCCGCAACATACTCACTCTATTTGTTTGTTTCCTATTTATGGAATTCTTATCATTGCACAGGAATAAGCGTCCAAGAGATCAATTTCGTGACATGGGTTCTCTCCGTGGTTGAGAATTACGCGACCGGGATCGCAACGAGCTCAAACCAATTGAAATTGTGCGGCGTTCGCTGTGAGTGGGAAAATCCGCTTGTGCAGCTGCTGCTTCAACAAGGTCTATTCGCAGCAGTCTCGGAACTCAATGCAGCAATTCATTCTCCTTGAAGCCATCGAGCGCGTGAGCAATTGGTGAGGCCCTCTTGAATGCACAGATTAACTGATTCTGTACACGAGATTCCGTTTGCTCGGATTGTGTCGCGGCCATTGCGACCCCATCGCCCGACCTGAATCACGGCAATGAATTAGGGTTACGAAACAAGGAATATGAAGATTTCATACATCCATATATGAATGGGAATCGTTTTCATTCATCCACGTTGAGGATAGAAGTTGTATTTGTTCTCATCCATTTCTCGGATGGGAAATTGTTGTCACGCTCATCCATGGATGAATATGTATCAGAACATGGTAATCCAAGCTGAGGATGGTGTATATATCAAGGTTCTATGTATTTCGCTATAAAATCATAAAGTATTTTTAAAAAATTACATTCAATTCGATTCAATTAGTTTTTAAGTGTTATTCTAGGTTTATTATTAAATTGATTGTTTTTAGATATTTATTTTTATTTAATATAATTTTAGATATTTTTATATTTTTTTTATAAACTTTGATGGATCGCTACACTATCATTGATTAGATTATATTTAAACAATATGTCTAAGTGTTTGTTTGGATTTACTTAAGGAGATTCAATGTGCTACTTAATAGTATCAAAAAATAATAATAATAACTAATTTTTATATGAATTAAATATTTACTTAAATTTTAGTTTATTTTGATTTTTTAATAAATAAATATATTTATATATTAAAATTATTATTATTTGATTTTATGTAATAAAAATTTATTTATAAATTCTTTGTGACAATTTAACATCCATTAATATCCTATGTATTAATTCTTTAATTAATATTCTATTCATCTATATGGACAACTATTTAAATCATCACAAGGCTTTAATGAGATTATTAGAATAGGTGCATGTTGAAATCTTTTCTAATAACCAATGATATCAAACAAAATCTAAACTTTCAACATAAACTCATGCAAAACTAAATTTAGAATATGTCTAATTTCTTCTAAAAATATCATACTTCTTCTCGCTTTTAAATTGTGCTTCCAATAAGTTTTTAATAAAAAATTCTTTAACATTTAGATGAGGTTATTTATAAATGAGGTTTATATTGATCTATATAAGAATTTATTATGATTTTTTTTATTTTTTATTTATCAATATCATAGGTAAAAAGACTTTATTTCAAATTTACTTTACAAAAGCAACTAATTAAAATTGGTTATAAAAAATAGTATTATTTTTATAAAATTTGTATTAAATACTAAAGAAGACTTCTTTTTCTTATTCTTTCATTCACTTTCTTTTTATATGTATAAATTTTATTTTTGTTAATAAAATTTATATATTTAAAATTATTTTTAAAAATAAAAATTAGAATGCAATATCATAACTTTTGATAGTTTTTCAATATGTTAATATTCGATTTAAACTATAAAAATTTTGTCTTTAAAAAAAAGCTAATACAAAAAATTAAAATTATTTTTTATAAAAAATTAAATTCTAATTATTAATAAGTGTTGAAGTAAGTAAATAAAAGTAAAAGTTGAATAAGTTATCTTATAGAGGATATTACCTTAGATTAATTACTAATAATCAAAGGATTGACTTGGTATGTAGAAAGACATCCTATGAATAAAAAATACAATCAAGAGCTAAGAGTCAAGGTCAATAGGATAAATAATCAATTAGAAAATATTCAAATATTAAATAGGAATATTAAGTATATACTATAAAATAATCTTGATATAGATCCTAAGAATATAAAGAATATACTAAAGATATATTTTTGTAGTTGATAAGATGTCAAAAAATATACTTGGTATATTCTTTGATAGATGTGAAAATCAAAGAATGGAAGTTGTCATTAAAAGTAGCAACCACCACCTATAAATAATGGATTTTGGAAGTAAGAGTTATCTTATTCTATATTCTCTTTGTATGCAATATATCTGATACTATATGTTGTGACTTTAAAGTTGTCTTTCTTCAATAGGATATGGGCTTACTTACCTTTGCTTGTGAGTTTTGAAGTTCTTTGAAGTCTTTCTTATTATGAAGAGTAGATCTTATGGTTATTATTGATATCTTTTAAAAAAATTGTAAAAATTTTGAAATTTTTAAAAATACATTGATGGACAAGTTTTGTAAAAAATTTTATAAAATTCATTAATAAATTTATAAAATTGATGTACAAATTTTGTAAAAAATTTTACAAAATTTTGTAAAAATTCATTGATGTACTTATATTGTATTTTTATGTATGAAGTTCTTAAAAGATCTCTTATAGTGATAAGAATTATATCAACAATGAGAGTTCTATTAATCATTTTTTTTTATTTTATTTAATACACCTTTTTCTTACATATAGCTTGAAGTGAAGCTGAAGGCTTGAGATTGATTGAGAAGTTTAGAGATGACAACTTCTACCATTAGAAGAAGAAAATAGAGCTTTTGTTGGCTTCATTGGACATTTGGAATATTGTTGGTCAAAGTGAGGAGCCTCCAAGTGACAATGCTAATGTCAAAGAAAAGAAGGAGTACAAATGTCTTAAAAATAAGGCTTTTGGATTTATTGCAATTAATATTGTGAATGTACGAAGATATATAGAGCTAAAGAAGATAGACTAAAGTGTATGTATACAATTCTTAGAACCAATAATAAAAATAATGAAGATGTTGAAGATGATGATCATGAAAATTATCAATCTTTGAATATATAGAGACAAGTTTTAAATGAAAAGAAGCTTGCAAGAGACTTTAGAGTGCATGAAGGTAAATCTTCATCAAATGAAAGGATATTTCTTTTGAAAGAAACCATTTCAGACAATTTTTTGCATGTTTTTCTTCAGGCTCCTCTTTTGTCAATGTTTGTGAGTGGTACTAATTTTATTGTCATTTTAGCCAATAGTGTCCTTTTTCTTTCTTCCAATACCTACATAATAGCAATTATGCTGAATTCATGCTATATAAGAAAACTTGATGTAATTCAAAGTCATTTGTTGAGAGACCAAGTGGCTTTTTCAATGCTACCTACAAGAATTTAAACTTCAATACTATATACAGCAAGTTAAGGTGGATTCTTGCATAAAGCTTGGATTAGAATCACAATATAGTTTATTTTTAGGAAATATAGAAGGTTTTTGTGAAGCAATCAGTGTTATGGGCAATAAAACGACTCACCGCCTACCTCATTCTTCTGATTGCAGATACATACTTGGGTCTCTTGATTTCTTTTTTTTTATTGCATTTTGGTTCATTAGACCTTGCTCTTCATTGATTCACAAGCACCAACAAATCGATTGCTTCACAAGTCATTTTTTCATAATTCCAAACCTCTTGAGTTGGCATTGCTAGTTTCAATTTTTAGAGGTAGAACTAAGGCATTTCTTTGATTTGGCTACCAAAACAATTGCTAAAAAACATAAGAGATAACATGTGGAGAGTTAGAAATTATGCTCAAAACTAGTTTTTGTTTTGTTTTGTTTTTTTTTTGTTTTTTTGTTTTTTTGTTTTTCTTATTCTTCTTCTTCTTTCAGATTGCATTGAATTAGAATTCAAACAAAATTGATCAATCATGTCTTGGCCATGACTAGTGCAATATTGGTTGCAAAATTCTCACTTGTAGGAATGAAATTCAAAGAAAAAAAACAATAATTGTATTAAAATTCACATGTCCTTAAATTAAAATAAGATTACAAAGAAATTAGAGTTGTATGAAATTGACTTTATTTTTGCATTACAAATTTAAAATTATATGTTTAAACTTTTGATACCATATTTTTAAATGCTAGATTGACAAGTTGTTGTTGTTGTTGTTGTTTTTTTTTTTTTTTTTTTTTTTTTTTTTCACTGATCAATATCAAAATCACACCTTGTACAATAAAAAATCAATTATAAGTCTTTTAAAAATTTAATGCAAGCTGATCTAGTAATGTATTTTATATGTAGAAAAAATAAAAGCTGATTATTAAGTGAATAGGTGAAAAAATAAATAAATAAATAAATAAATATAATGTTAAGAAGAATAATAATATAAGATAAAGATGTGCACTTCTTACATTTCTTAAATATGACAATATTACACAAGTTCTTCAACCTCATATAGAAATACTTTGAATAGATTGTATGAATTCATTCTTTGGAATGTTTACAGTGATAAAGTGAAGCCATCAATATCATAAGAATTTACCTAATTAGCACTTGATTGCCACCCCCAAAAAAAAAAAAAAAAAAAAAAAAACAACAACAACAACAACAACAACAAAAACAACACATATAAGGTTTCTTATTAACACAAGTGGATATAATAATAAATCAAAAATAAATCGAGTAAAACAAGAATCCACAACAATAAGAAAGACAAGTGAAAGAAGTGATTAAAGTCAAATATTTATTAGAAACAAGTAATTGAAGTCAAGAAATAAATCCAATCTTTATATTTATATATATATATATATATATATATATATATAGTTATAAATAGTCAAATTATTAAAAATATATATATTTTTATTATTAACAAAAATATTTCATTAATGTTATCAACTATGCATTTCTAAAATACAAACGCTCATTTTACATATAATATTTATTTGAAAACTTACAATGGCAATTCAAAAATCCAATGCTTTTATGACATCTTTGGATAGCAATACATGCATCAACCATTCTAGATTTTAACATTGAACTATCAAAATTCTAAGCTATATTCAAAGAAGTTGCAAAGTACTTAATGAGTACTAGACCAAGATATTAAATATTATTACAATTTAACAAAATCAATTTGGCCACATGACTATAAATACTAAAGAATTTCTAAGTTCCTAAATCTTAAGAGCATATAAGATACCGTTAATTCCAATATCAAAAATAATTTGGTGGCAACTTATGGCATAACACAATGAGCAACATATCATTCCTAATAAAATTATTTGACCATTATCAATTAATGCAAAGCAAAAGGTTGAATAGTCACAAATATTTGTACGTAGATACTATTGTCATGATGAGGACTATTTAATAATTAAATAATAGACATTCATATATATTGTGTATACTTTAAGTATATAATTAAATTAATATTAGTATTTTGTTATTAGGTTGATATTACTTATTTATTTATTCATAGATAATTAATCTTAAGATTGATAATTGGAAAGATT